GTCAATCCACCCCTTTAATAATTTAAATTTCTTTCCTTTGGAGTATCTACCGCATCATCATTTTATTCCATTCTTTCTATAGCCAACCCATATTTTATTACAGTGTGATAAAATATCTTGCATAGTGTTGGCACAAGATCAAGAAAGAAAGGGACAGAAAATGACTCTGTAGTATTTGCTAGGATGCAATTTCTCAATGTGATCTGCCTACATACATCTTCATCAGAATCACCCAGACACTTATTAAATGCAGATTTCAGGACCTCAGATCTAGAATCAATATTTGGTGGTTGGTGAGAGTCTAGAAGTGCTTTTTGTACGTGTTTAATTTTGGGAACCACTCTTTTAGAATATGCTCTCCTCTGCTAAGACAGGATTATTTTTCTCAGAGGCATCTAAGTCATTCGGCATTTGCTTTCCCTTCTGATGTTTCTCACCTCTACTTCTACTTCTCAGGAAGCCTACGCTATTTTAAACAGGTTTGAAGTTGAAGTAACCAAAGAGGAATCAGAAGCAGTTGATACCTTGAGATATTCTTTCAACAAATTGCAGAGCAAAGCTGTAAGAAAAAATTTAATTATCTTATTTTTATTTCATACTTTTTAAGGCCTAATATATATCACTTATAACAGTGTTATTGAGGTGTAATTCATATGTTCTAAAAGTCACCATTTTAAAGTATACAATTCAGTGGTTTTTAGTATATTCACAGAATTGTGCAACCATCATCATTATCTAATTTTAGAAGGTTTTCATCACCCCAGAAAGAAACCTCATACCCATTAACAATCACTCCCCATTTCCCTCTCACTCCACCCCCTGGCAACTGATAATCTACTTTCTGTTTCTGTGGATTTGCCTTTTCTGGGCATTGCATATAAATGGAACCATACAATAGGTGGTCTTTTGTAATGGGCTTCTTTCACTTAACATAATGTTTTCAAGGTTCATTCATGGTGTAGCATATACCAGTACTTCCATTATTTTTTAAGAAATTTATTATGGTAAAATATATATGACATAAAATTTGCCATTTTTAAGTGTACAAATCAGTGACCTTAATTACATCCACAGTGGTGTGCAACCATCACCACTATCTATCTCCAGAAATATGTTATCACTCCAAACAGAAACTCTGTGTCCATTAAGCAATAACTTCCCATTCTCCCCTCCTCCAGCTCCTGGTAACCTCTAATCTACTTTGTGTCTCTATAAATTTGCTTATTCTGATTATTTCATGTAAGTGGGATCATATAATATTTATCCTTTTGCGTCTAGCTTATTTCACTTAGCGTAATGTTTTCAAGGTTCATCCATGTTGTACCATGTATCGGAGCTTCATTCCTTTTAATCGATGAATAATACTTCATTGTGTGTAAGGACCACATTTTGTTTATCCATTCATCTGTGGATGGACATTTGGGTTGTTTCCACCCTTTGGCTACTGTGAATAATGCTGCAGTGAATATTGGTGTACAAGTGTCCGAGTCACTGCTTTCAGTTCTTTTGGGTATATACCTATGACTGCACTGACTGGGTCATGTGTTAATTCCATGACTAACTTTTTTGAAGAACTGCCAGACTGTTTCTATAGCAATGCATGAGGGCTTCAATTCTCTACTTCCTTGCCAACACTTGTTATCTTCTAATTTTTTAAATAATAACTACCCTAATAGGCCACCATCTGTCTGTTAGTTCATTGTACCATGGTGGTTTGCGTGCTGCTGTGATGCTGGAAGCTATGCCACTGATATTTCAAATACTAGCAGGGTCATCCATGGTGGACAGGTTCCAGTAGAGCTTCTGGACTAAGACAGACTAGGAAGAAGGACCTGGCAATCTACTTCTGAAAAAAAAAAATTACCCGGTGAAAACCTTATGGAGAGCATTGGAACATTGTCTGATCTAGTGCTGGAAGATGAGTCCCTCAGGTTGGAAGACACTCAAAATACGATTGGGGAAGAGCTGCTTCCTCAAAGTAGAGTCAACCACAATGACATGAATGGAATGAAGCTTTCGGGACCTTCATTTGCTGATGTGGCATGATTCGAAATGAGAAGAAACAGCTGAATACATCCATTAGTAACTGGAATGTAGAGTGTATGAACTATGAGTCGAGGAAAATTGGAAGTCATCAAAAATGAAGTGGAATGCTTGAAGATCAATATTCTAGACATTAGTGAGCTGAAATGGACTGACGTTGGCCATTTTGAATCAGACAATGATATGGTCTACTATTCCAGGAAAGACAAATTGAAGAGGAAAGGTGCCACATTCATAGTAAAAAAGAACAAGATCTATCCTGAAGTGCAACTGTCAGTGATAGGGTAATATCCATATGCCTACAAAGAAGAGCAGTTAATACAACTACTATTGAAATTTATGCACCAACCATAAATGACAAAGATGAAGAAATTGGAGACTTTTACCTACTTCTGCAGTCTGAAATTAATGAAACATGCAATCAAGATGCATTGATAACTACTGTGATTGGAATGTGAAAGTTGGAAACAAAGAAGAAGGATCAGTAGTTGGAAAACACGGCCTTGGTGATAGAAATGACACTGAAGATAGCATGATAGAATTCTGCAAAACCAATGACTTATTCATCGGAAATACCTTTTTTCAGCAACATAAATGATGACTGTACACGGGGAACTTGCCAGATGGAATACACAGGAATCAAATCAACTGTATCTGTGGAAAAAGATGATGGAGAAACTCAGTATCATCAGTCAGAACAAGGCCAGGGGCCGACTGCAGAACAGACCACCAATTGCTCATCTACAAGTTCAAGTTGAAGCTGAAGAAAATTACAAGTCCATGAGAGCCTAAGCATGACCTTGAATATATCCTGCTTGAGTTTAGAAACCATCTTAAGAGTAAATTTGACTCATGGAACACTAATGACTGAAGATTAGAAGAGTTGTGGGATGACATTGGGGACGTCATATATAATGTTATTTATTTCTTAGGGTTACCATTAAGAAGACAAGAAAGAAAGAAAAGAACAAAATGGATGTCAGAAGACACTCTGAAACTGGCTCTTGAACATAGAGTAGCTAAAGCGGCTGGAAGAAATGATAAAGAGCTGAACAGAAGATTTCAAAGGGCGGCTCGAAAAGGCAAAGTAAAGTATTATGATGAAATATGCAGAGACCTGGAGTTAGAAAAAGGGAAGGACACTCTTGGCATTTCCCAAGCTGAAAGAACTGAAGAAAAAATTCAAGCCTTGGGTTGCAATATTGAAGGATTCTATGGGCAAAAAATTGAATGACATAGGAAGCATCAAAAGAAGATGGAAAGAATACACAGTCACTGTACCAGTAGGAACTGGTTGATGTTCAACCATTTCAGGAGGTAGCATATGATCAAGAACTGATGGTATTGAAGGATAAAGTCCAAGCTACACTGAAGGCATTGGTGAGAAACAAGGCTGTAGGAACTGACAGAGTACCAGTTGAGATGCTTCAACAAACAGGTGCAACACTGGAAGCAGTCACTCCTCTGTGCCAAGAAATTTGGAGAACAACTACCTGGCCAACTGTCTGGAAGAGATCCATATTCATACCAGTTCCAAAGAAAGGTGATCCAACAGAATGTGAAAATTATCGAACAACATCATTAATATCATATGCAAGCAAATTTTGCTGAAGGTAATTCAAATATGGCTGCAACCATCATCGACAGGGACCTGCCAGAAATTCAAACCAGATTCAGATGAGGACGTGGAACGAAAGATATTATTGCTGATGTCAGATAGACCTTGACTGAAAGCAGAGAATACCAGTGTTTTACCTGTGTTTTATTGGTTATGCAAAGGCATTCAACTGTGTGGATCATAACAATTATGGATAATATTGAGAAAAATGGGAATTCTGTAACACTTAGTTGTGCTCATAAGGAACCTGTACATAGAACAAGAGGCATTTGTTCAAACAGAACAAGGGGATACTGAGTGGTTTAAAATCAGAAAAGGTGTGCACCAGGATTGTGTACTTCCACCATACTTATTCAATCTGTATGCTGAGCAAATAATTGGAGAAGCTGGACTATATGAAGAAGAATGGGGCATCAGAATTGGAGGAAGATTCATTAACAACCTGCGTCATGCAGATGACACAACCTTGCTTGCTGAAAGTGAAGGGGGCTTGAGGCACTTACCGATGAAGATCAAAGACCACAGCCTTCAGTATGGATTACACCTCAACATAAAGAAAACAAAAATCCTCACAACTGGACTAATAGCAGCATCGTGATAAATGAAGAAAAGATTGAAGTTGTCAGGATTTCATTTTACTTGGATCCACAATCAATGCCCATGGAAGCATCAGTCAAGAAATCAAACAATATATTGCATTGGGCAAATCTGCTGCAAAAGACCTCTTTAAAATCTTAAAAAGCGAAGATGTCGCTTTGAAGGCTAAGGTGTGCCTGACCCAAGCCATGTTCTTTTCAGTCGTCTCATGCTTGCAAAAGTTGGACAATGATAAAAGAAGAAAAAAGAATTGATGCATTCAAATTATGGTTTTGGTGAAAAATATTGACTATACATGCCATAGACTGCCAGTATGAACAAATCTGTTGTGGAAGAAGTACAGCCAGAATGCTCCTGGGCTTATAGTAGTAACAGGGATGGCCTGATCAGGGTCCACTGGAAAACTTTTTTCAAACTGTGGTTACAGGGATGATTACTTTGCCTCTTGGGTCATGCACGAGAATGATTTGAGTTTCCTGTTGGTACATTTGGTTTATTTTTTATTACAAACAGCATTACAGAGATATCTTTGTACATAGAGGACACCCATGAGATATTTCTCATTGTAATAGATTACTTGCACCCTAATATTGAGTATTCTTTTTTATTCTAGGTTTCTGTACAAGATGAACTAGTTCAAGTGCAGCCAAAGTTTAAAAGTAATCTACTAGAATCTGTGGAAGTTTTTCGTGAGGATGTAGCAAACTTTGCAGAGTCATATGATACGGTAATTTAGCTATTTGCAAGCTGTATGTTAAGATGTTCTGTAATATATTTATATAAAATGAAACTGATAAACCCCAAAAGATACATTGCAATTTGTACATTGCAAGTAAGAGACTATTTACATATTTGCAACTATCAAAAAAAAAAAAAAAAGGGATAGCTACTCCTTTAAGCATGTTTCATAGAGAAAGAAGATTTGACTGTTAAAAGGAGCAATAACTTTGGAGATTGTGAAAGGAACAAATTCTGTTCCTTTCTCAAGACCAGAATTCTCATAGTTAAAAAATGTAACACAGTTATTGGAAGGCATTAAGAAACCATAAACTTCCTAGTATCAGGGTATTGGAATCCCTGGGTGGTGCAAACGGTTAATGCTCTTGGCTGCTAACAGAAAAGTTGGAAGTTCAAGTCCACCTAGAGACACCTGGGAAGAAAGGCCTGGCGATTTATTTCTGAAAAATCAGCCATTGAAAACCCTGTGGAGCACATTTCTACTCTGACACACATGGGGTCACCATGAGTTGGAGTCGACTCAACAGCAATTGGTACCAGGGTATTATGGAACTGATTTTGCATTTTCATTAGCTTTTAGAGAACCAAAGGGGTCATTGAATATAAATAATAAATGTTGTAATGGGTCAGTCCTATAGATTACTTATCCTTTATTCTGACTGATAATGCTTCATCTCCTTGAAGGTAAACTAAGAATGTTCCCCTAAAACAACCTATTTTTTTCAGTGGTCATAATGGATCTGGATTCATAAGATGATTTATGGCCTTGGAGCTACTTGTATAGCACTTTTTTTTTAACATGTACTAAACTTATCTCTTTAAATTGGATTAATCAACATTTGATTGCCCTATATTCTGTTATTCTGAGAGTCTGGTCTATTATTTAGCATATCTATAATAGTCATGATTGTACAGACTGTGTTAATATCCTTAATACTCTCTATTTTTCCATGGGGAATAGTTTTTGTTATTTTAATCTGTCCCTATATTGGAAGTTCTTTCATTCCTTTCATTGTTTTGTGGTTTTTTGGGGACTGTTTTCTTGCTCTTGGCCACCACAGTCTGCCTTCTGCTAAGTATTCAACAAACGTGTATCTCTAGTTTCATAATGAGTAGAACAGTTAGTGAGAGAAAGCTGTTTCTGAGAACTCTTGTCAGTTATTTTAATGTGCAACCGCTACATCATCATTTATAGTCATAAATGCAATTAAGCAGAGCTCTCATGGCACAAACTCCATATAAGCTGTAATTTTGTCTCATTTTATATTAGCTATGTCAAGGTCCTTTAAAATGAATGGAAGCTGGAGTGATAAAAATGTTCTAAAACTGATTATGTTCATGGTTGCACAGCTCTGAATATTCTAACAAACCATTGAATTGTACACTTTAAATGGGTGAATTGTATAGTACCTGAATTCTGTCTCAATAAAACTGTTACAAAAAATGAATGAAAGCTTCATATTACAGGAACAAAATTAGACCATTTAACTTTAAAACAATTTATATTTATTTAAAAGGATATAATAGATAAACATAATAATGTGACAAACACATATGAGTAAGAATTAAAATGTAGACTATATTATTACTTACAGGAGGGACCCATGGTTCCAAATATACCACCCCAAGAAGCTAGCAACAGGCTACAGATATTTCAGGTACAAACCACATTTTTTTGTTACATTGATAATGTGTTGTTATTTAAAAAATTATTTTAGCAACAATTTTATGTGTTTTTATCTTTCGATAGAAAAGTTAATGTTTGAAGTACATATAGATTTTTCTTCTTTTTTTAAATTTCTGATTTCCTCTCTCTCTCCCTTCCCACCCGCGTAACCATCAAAGAATGCTATTTTCTGTGTTTAAGCCTTTTCTTGAGTTCTTATAATAGTGGTCTCATATAATATTTGTCCTTCTGTGACTGACCAATGTCACTCAGCATAATGCCCTCCAGATTCATCCATGTTGTGAGATGTTTCACGGATTCATCAGTGTTCCTTATCATTGTGCAGTGTTCTATTGTGTGTATGTACTATAATTTGTTTACCTGTTTATCTGTTGATGGGCATTTAGATTGTTTCCATCTTTTTGCTATTGTGAATAGTGCTGCAGTGAACATGGGGGTGCATGTATCTATTCGTGTGACGGCTCTTATTTCTCTCAGGTATATTCCTAGGAGTGGGACTGCTGGATCGTATGGTATTTCTATTTCTAGCTTTTAAGGAAGCACCAAATCGTTTTCCAAAGTGGTTGTACCATTTTACATTTCCACCACTAGTGCATAAGAGTTCCAATCTCTCCACAACCTCTCCAACGTTTGTTATTTTGTGTTTTTTGCGTTAGTGCCAGCCTTGTTAGGGTGAGATGGTGGCTCATTGTTGTTTTGATTTGCATTTCTCTAACGGCTAATGATCGTGAGCATTTCCTCATGTATTTGTTAGCTGCCTGAATGTTTTCTTTGGTGAAGTGTCTGTTCATATCCTTTGCCCATTTTTTAATTGGATTATTTATCTTTTTTGTTGTTGAAGCATTGCAGTATCTTGTAGATTTTAGAGATTAGACCCTTTTCAGCTATGTCATAGCCAAAGTCTTTTTTCCAATTTGTAGGTTCTCTTTTCATTCTTTTGGTGAAGTCTTTTGATGAGCACAAGTGTCTGATTTTTAGGAGCTCACAGTTATCTAATTTCTCTTCTGGTGTTTGTGCATTGTTACTTATGGTTTGTATACTATTTATGCCAAGTATTAGGGCTCCTAGAGTTGTCCTTGTTTTTTCTTCCGTGATCTTTATTGTTTTCGATTTTATATTTAGGTCTTTGATCCATTTTGAGTTAGCTTTTTTGTATGGTGTGAGGCATGGGTCCTGTTTCATTTTTTACAGATGGATATCCAGTTATGCCAGCACCATTTGTTAAAGAGACTGTCTTTTCCCCATTTAATGGACTTTGGGCCTTTGTCAAACATCAGCTGCGCATAGGTGGATGGATTTACATCTGGGTTCTCAATTCTGTTCCATTGGTCTATGTATCTATTGTTATACCAGTACCAGGCTGTTTTGACTACCGTGGTGGTATAGTAGGTTCTAAAATCAGGTAGTATGAGGACTCCCACTTTGTTCTTCTTCTTCAGTGATGCTTTACTTATCCGGGGCCTCTTCCCTTTCCATATGAAGTTGGTGGTTTGTTTCTCTATCTCGTTAAAAAATGCCATTGGAATTTGGATTGGGATTGCATTGTATCTGTAGATCACTTTGGGTAGAATTGACATTTTCACAATGTTGAGTCTCCTATCTATGACCATGATATGTTTTTCCACTTCTGTAGGTCTCTTCTGATTTCTTACAGTAGTGTTTTGTAGTTTTCATTGTATAGGTCTTTTACGTCTCTGGTTAGATTTATTCCTAAATACTTATCTTCTTGGGAGCTATTGTAAATGGTGTTGATTTGGTGATTTCCTTTTCGAAGTTCTCTTTGTTGGTGTAGAGGAATCCAACTGTATGTTTATCTTGTACCATGTATCCTGATACTTTGCTGAAACCTTCTATTAGTTCCAGTAGTTTTCTTGTGGATTCTTTGGGGTTTTCTGTGTATAAGATCATATCATCTGTGAATAGGGATAGTTTTCCTTCTTCATTACCAGTTTGGATGCCGTTTATTTCTTTTTCTAACCTAATTGCTCTGGCAGGACTTCCAGCACAATGTTGAATAAGAGTGGTGATGAAGGGCATCCTTATCTTCTTCCCATTCTCAAGGGGAATGCTTTCAGTATGTCTGCCTTTAAAATATGTTGGCTGTTGGCTTTATATAAATGCCGTTTATTATGCTGAGGAATTTCCCTTCTATTCCTATTTTGCTGAGAGTTTTTATCAAGAATGGGTGTTGGACTTTGTCCAATGCCTTTTCTGTATCAATTAATAAGATCATGTGGTTCTTATCTTTTGTTTTATTTATGTGATTGATTACACTGATTGATTTTCTAATGTTGAACCATCCCTGTATACCTGGTATGAATCCCACTTGGTCATGATGAATTATTTTTTTGATATCCTATTGAATTTTATTGTCTAGAATTTTGTTGAGGATTTTTGCATCTATGTTCATGAGGGATATTGGTCTGTAATTTTCTTTTTTTATGGTAAAGTAAAGATTTTAACTGTATCCTAATTTACTAAATGATGTAATTGGTTTCTTGTCTGTGTCTTACCATGTTATTCTCCATAGACAATTTGTCTGTATTTTTAGAGAATAGATTGATTTTGAACTGAAGTGTGCACCTTATTCTAGTTCCAAGCATCTCTTTTGATATGTAGAATGAGAAAAAGTTTATAGTTTAAAAAATTTATAGAAACATGATTTTAAATATTGACAAATAATTTCCCAGCCTTCTCTCTGTATCTATTATTTTTTTTCCCTCTGTTTCCATCACTTTAAACTCCTCCATCTCTGTGTCCTACCCCAGACTCTACAATACTCAGTGGATCGGGCCAACTACTCACTATTGTTTTCTACACTCAGATTCTTGAACATATCTAGAGAAAAATCACATACCCATTTGGATTACTATTTTGCAGATTAATGGATTCCTACGTGAACCAACCCCTCAGAAACATCAGACAATTATTTTATTTGTTCCTGTTCTTTTTACTGTTTCCTACAGTGGCTGTACAATACATTCATATTCTCTTTATGTCCTCTGTGTTACTTGAATTCTTCATCATTAAAAATATATTTATCAGATTCCCACTGTGTGACTTGGTTGATAGAAAGGTGGTTAAGCTGCTAAAATCGGGTAGAGAGACAGAAAACTAGGGACAATTGCAAAACTATGTTGAGCACCATGATCTAGATATGGGATTGTGTTGAGAGAACAGATGGAAGGGGCTTCCATGCAGATAGGGGCCGGTGGGACAGACAGAGAAGGTTCGTGGGAGAGGAGGCATCCAAGCTGGGTCTTGAAGGACTAATTAGATTTCACTAGGAGAAGAACGGGGTAATGTAATTTGAGCGGAAGTTGCAAGTCTTACAAAGGCCCAGGAGTGAGGAGACTAGCAGGGAGATTTAGCGAGTTTAGTCCCTGGGTGGTGCAAATAGTTAAATGCTTGGCTGCTATCCAAAGGATTGGAAGTTCGAGTCCACCCAGAGACACCTCAGAAGAAAGGCCTAGTGATCTACTTCTGAAAAATCAGCCATTGAAAACCCTTCGGAGCACAGTTCTACTCTGACACACATGGGGTTGCCATGAGTTGAAATCGACTTGACAGCAGTTAGTTTTTTAAGGAGTATAGTGGGGCTGCAGTGGACAAAGAGGATAGTGAGGAAGGATAGAGCAGCAGAGCAGGCAGAGACCACTAATGGAGGGCCTCATATACTTTAATAAGGAGTTGGATCCTATCTTGAGGGTTGGAGGGCTTTAAGCAGGAAGTGATATGATCAGATTTGAAGTTATAAGAGTTGCATTGTTAAAAGATTTCTCTGGCACTAGTGTGGAGAATGGTTCTGGGAGAGGACATTTAAACTGATGGCAGTTTCAGTAATACAACCAAGAAATTGTCAAGATTGAAACCAAGCAAGTGGCACTTGAGATGAAGAAAACGTGATGAATCATAAGATTGTTAAGGAGTTAGAATTGTTAGGCTTAGAGCCTGGGTTGAGGGGAAAAGATCAAGGTTTCCAGCTTGGGCAATTAAATGGTAGAGCTATTTATTGAACTTACTTATTTCTTAGGGCTACCATAACAACATGCCACAAAGTGAGTGGCTTTAAAGAACAGGAATTTACTGTGTCACAGTTCTGGAGGCTAGAAGTCCAAATTCAGGGTGTCCACAGAGCCATGTTCTCTCTCTTTTGGCTCTAAGGGAATATCCTTCCTTGTGTCTTTCAGCTTTTGTAGCCCTGGGCGTTTCTTAGCATTCCTTGGCTTGTAGCTAGATCTTCACATGGCTTTAACCCCATGTATGTGACTCTGATTCTGTCTACTCTCCCCTTTTATAAAACACCACTCAGAAGAGATTAGGACTAGGACCCATGCTACTCTGGTATGATTTAACTGATAATATCTTCAAAGAAAGACCCTATTTCTCCAAACAAGGTCACATTCACAGGTACAGATGTTAGGACTTCAGTATATCTTTTGCGGGGGCACAATTCAATCCGTAACAGAGGCTACTGCATTAATCCAGGTGAGAGGCTTGGACTAGAATGGTAACATTGGAGTTGATGAGAAAGTGGTTAGATCCTGGGTATGTTTTGAAGGTAGACCCACTTCCTTGTCTTTCCGTCACGAGTTACCAATTTACTAGTCAGCATCTGGGACATTAATGGTCACATTTTTAACAGGGTTGTTGTCACTTCAAGGAGCCCTGGTGGTACAGTGGTAAAATGCTCAGCTGCTAACTAAAAATTCGGCGGTTCAAACCCACCCAGCCGCTCTTCAGGAGAAAGATGTGGCAGTCTGCTTCCGTAAAGATTACAGCCTAGGAAACCCTATGGAGCAGTTCTACTCTGTCCTGTAGGTCACAATGAGTCTGAGTCAACTCA